ATTATTTCCATCAACTATTTAGAATGAAGACAAACAATCAACGGAGAGTATTCTGCTTCGTTATTGGACCGGTTAAGTGAGAAAATATTGTTTTCATTAAAAAAAATTCTGTTTGATCAAGATAATGCACGAATGCATTCTTGTGTAGTTTCAATTACAAAAATTCAGCAATTAAAGTTCGAATCAGTGGATCATCCACAGTATTCACCAAACGTGGTCCTAACTGATTTTTTTGGTCGACTTTGAAAAATTCCAAAATCATATTTTTTTGATGGTTTAGAAAAAACTTAAAGAACATCTAGAAAAGTGTATTGAACTAAAAAAAAACTATATTGAAAAAGAAAAACAAATCTACCTAAAAAATAGTTATTCTATCTTTTTCTAAGACCTTATTATCTACCTTTTTATCTAAACTTTAGGATAACAAATTATTAACTGAGAAACTCTCGATACAAGACGCTCTTGTCTAAAATATAATATTATTAAATGGTTATATCTTTATTGCATAGTGAATAAGAAAGCATATATATATCTCAGTCTCTTTCTCTATCACTTTCACTTCATCTTTCTCTGTTGCATGACCTTGATAAGTACATATGAAAAGTTTTTCGGCCTTAACACTGCTTCCTGTATTTATTTCAATAGAAATAAGTACCGTGCACTCGGTTGATCACTTGCATCGTAATTCAGTGCATTCAAATGATCGCGCAACGATCAACACTTATTTAACAAAGAATCTACTCATGATAAATTAAGATGACAGTGAATCTCAGACCAAGGAAATCAATATCAATAGAAATAAAATTTTAATACGAGAGTAAATTTTGATGTATTCTCCATCATTACAATATGTAATACAATTATTATTAATGGAATAAGCTTATGAATTATAATTCAAAGAATAAGTAATTTATTGATTCATTTGAAAACGATTGTGAATAATGGTACATTGTTTCATTTCAGTTTTTATTAATTGAAAAGCAATCTTACCGAAACTAGTAAAGTTATTTTTATGCTACAGAGATTACTTTAGTATATTTATTCAAATCGATATTTGTAAAGTACGTGATTTCTGATGAAATAAATGCCAGTTTCAAACCTTTTACTATTCTTCCTCTACCCGTATACCATTCTTTCGTTTTCATTGTTTCGTGTACATTTGTTTACTATGTTTATCCAATGTATCATTTAGTTATTGAATCATTCATGCCTCTTTTCGCAATCAATTAATTGTTTGTAGGTAAAAACTAGCGTCAGCAAACAGATAAGTGACGAGTCTTTCCATCGATTACACAGGTCTGCAAGATTTTGTTATAGAAAAGCCATAGGTCATTTTCGAAGTAATTTTTGGCGTAGAAAACGAATCCGAAGTCCAAATTGCTCCATCACGTCAGGATTTTGAGATATCCTAACCTAAAAATGCGAAAATAGTGGTTTTTTTTGCTATTTTTGAGGCTATGTAGCACCGCGGCATTCTCATTAATCAGAAAAAAACCAACGACACCTTAAAGTATAAGTCTGACACTTTCAAATACCGTTGAGTTTGCTCAAATAGCTCATGTCTGCATCAAAATATTCCATCATGAATTTTTCAAGTTTCATGAATTTAGTTGTTTACTTTGTTGGTAAACTCACATAGTTCTGGAGAAAAAGTGTTTGACTAATCGCCTTTCTTTTAAAAAATAAACAATTTAACCTCAGATAGGCTAACATGACTTAACCCTCAAGTATTTTATCCAAATACATCTTATGAACCCTCATAAACCACCCTAGCACATCAAACAGACTAGCCCACCTAACCCTGGGTACACCAACTACTTTTCTTTAAGCAAACCGAATTCTCCATCACTGATGGACTACCCTATTTTAAGCTTTATAGACTTCATTATCACATACCCTTAAAACCCTTGTAACTGCTATACTTATACTTCTATACTCAAATAGGTGAACCCACCTACCCTAGGTAAAACAAGTTGGTAAATTTTTTTTTTTCGAAAAAAAACCTAATTTTGTTATTTAGCAAATCCGATATTTTTGCAGTTTATCTAGTTGTAGATTTATACTTAAGATGTGATTCTAGTTTTAAATCTTGAATCGACTTTTTTTTTTATTCAAAAGTTTTTAAAAGCCAAAATGACTCAAAGTTCAACATCCTAAAATACCTTTGAGTATCCTAAATTAGTGAAATTAGTGATATATTGTTATTCAGTTTATGTGTCTGTGTATTTCTGTAAACTTTTGTATTTTCATTACTAAATCTTCGTTTCCAAATTCTTTCGGAACCGTATTTTCATGGGATTATTAAACAAAATTCGTATTCATTTTTCTCCAGAACTATGTGAGTTTACCAACGAAGTAAACAACTAAATTCATGAAACTTGAAAAATTCAAGATGGAATATTTTGATGCAGAAATGAGCTATTTGAGCAAACTCAACGGTATTTGAAAGTGTCAGACTTATACTTTAAGGTGTCGTTGGTTTTTTTCTGATTAATGAGAATGCCGCGGTGCTACATAGCCTCAAAAATAGCAAAAAAACCACTATTTTCGCATTTTTAGGTTAGGATATCTCAAAATCCTGACGTGATGGAGCAATTTGGACTCCGGATTCGTTTTCTACGCCAAAAATTACTTCGGAAATGACCTATGGCTTTTCTATAATAATCAAAATTCTGATTTTGCAGACCTGTGTTATCGATCATGAATTCGGGGCGAGGATCTCGCAGACAGAAATAGCCACGGAAAAGAGAGAGAGAGAGAGAGAGAGAGAGAGATATTACGCGAGTAATAATCTAGCAAACGTTAACAAGTTGACACGTGCAACTGTTTTTGGTGAGTAAAATGATAGGCTCACGAGCAAGTAACGTCACGCTAGAAGCGATATCGCCACTGCGAAAAGTCATCTTTTCCGGATGAAACGATGTAAACCTCTTTTTCAATAAGCGTATATGTAGAGAATTCGGTGTTCAACGCATTCATTGTGGGTACCGACTGATCTGCCGTCTCACTTTCTTTCTTCTCTGGTTTCAACCTATGTACAAAATCGGCCCTACGAGGGTCGTTTGAAAAGTCCGTGCAAAGTCAGAGAGATGGCGCTATTAGTGCGTATCAAGGTTATTTTTAGTTAGTGGCATATCTTGGAAGAGCACACACCAAGTTTCATCGAAATCGGACAATTAATTTGCGTTTTACATTCATTTCAATCAAAGAAATCGAGTGGTTGTAAAAAAAATGGACGAAAAAGAATTTGGTGTATTGATTAAACATTACTTTTTCAAAGGCAAAACGCCTCAGAAGATTAAACAGAAACTTGATAAACATTATGGTGATTGTGCACCTTCGATTAAAATGGTTTATAAGTGTTTTCAAAATTTTCGGAGTGGCCATATGAGCACAAAAGACGCTGAACATTCTGGACGCCCTGTTGGGGTTACCACATCAGAAATCATTGATAAAATGCATGATATGATGATGGCTGACAGAAGAGTAAAGGTGCGTGAGATTGCTAGTACTGTAGGCATCTCGAGTGAACGGGTACATAATATTTTGTACCAACATTTGGACATGAAAAAGCTATCTGCTAGATGGGTGCCGCGATTGCTCACGATTGACCAAAAACGAAATCGTGTAAAGTGTTGCAAGAATGGTTTGCAGCTGTTCCAGCAAAATCCGCAAAACTTTAAGCATCGTATCATCACTGTAGATGAAACATGGATACATCACTACACTTCTGAGACCAAAGAACAGTCTAAACAATGGGTTACCAAAGAGGAATCTGCTCCGAAAAAGGCGAAGATAATTCCTTCGGCCAGGAAGGTTATGGCAACTGTCTTTTGGGATTCTCAAGGAATAATCTTCATCGACTATCTGGAAAAGGGTAAAACCATTACAGGCGAATATTATTCATCGTTATTGGATCGTTTGAAAAGCGAGTTGCTAGAGCAACGTCCTCGATTGGCCCACAAAAAAGTCCTCTTCCACCACGACAATGCGCCAGCTCACGTCTCAGCAGTTGTGGCCGCAAAATTGATGGAGATAGGGTTCCAACTCGTTTCACATCCCCCTATTCTTCAGACTTGGCTCCGTCGGACTACTATTTGTTCCCTAATATGAAAAAATGGCTGGCGGGGAAAAGATTTTATTCAAACGAGGAGGTGATTGCAGAAACGAATGCCTATTTTACAGACTTGGACAAATCCTATTATTTGGAAGGGATTAACAAACTAGAGCAGCGTTGGATGAAGTGTATAAGCCTAAAAGGAGACTATGTTGAAAAATAAAAAAGATTTATTAAAATAAATCAAGCAGTTTTTATTTTTGCACGGACTTTTCAAACGACCCTCGTATTTGCTTACGCTATATCCTTTGTTATTTGCGATTCCGTTGAACGTTCTTGGTTACATTACGTTGGTTACATTACTTGGTTACAACATTTAGGTTAGTTGCGTCCAACTTTCGTTGGGTATTCAATACCTTTTCGTGACCGTCATTGTTCGCTGTTTCTCACGTTGAGATATGAATGCTTACACTACGACTGCATCGTGAGATACGTCCGCACCAGGTCTTTTATTCGCAATGTACTTTTTTCCTATGCTGAATATACCCTATTTGTCATACATTTTTTTGAGTGATCTGTCATAAACCTTTGCCCTATTCATGAGATAACGTTATTAATCGCTCGTAAGTCTCTTTCGATTGTTGTATTTACTTACTTGTTGCTTACGACACTCTCCGCGGGCCGAGTTCTCAAAAGAAAGGATAAGTCAATTTGATGTAACTGGACCCAGGCACCGTCTGCGTAGGTACATAAGGTCGCCTTGAAAAGCGTATTTAGCGAGAACTACTGATGATTTTGTTGTTTGTTCACGAATTTCTTAAATATTTATGTATCGACTTTTCTCGAATGACCTCGACCTGAAACCCCGTTACTGCATGAAAATTTGTTCTAACGATTCATCTGAAGATAACAATTATATACTAAAATATGATTCCATTTTCAGTCCAGCATCAGCTTTAAGAAATGATAAATACTTTCCAAAAGAGCATAATATTTGGAACATTTTTTATCTCTCTGTTTTGTGGAAGTTTAATATGTACATCCTTAGTAACTAATCATTGGATTGACTCTAAACCTTGGAGAAAAGCAAACCCCTCTCAAAGTTCTGGAAAAATAAACTTCGGGCTTTTATATGGACGGAAAGAGTTAAATGTCGCATTCGGTCTGAGACCCTATGAGATAACAGGTAAGATTAAATGTAACTTTTATAAACACTGAATATAAACTGAATTAATCTTTATGTGGCTAAAAAATCTCACAAGCTTATTCTTTATATGTTATAATGAGTGGAAAAACTTCGTTATGTGCCTCTCTCTTCTTTACTTAAATAAATTATATATTTTCTGAAGCGGCCTTCGGTGCGAGAAACTATTTTCTCGTCGCGGAGCTATGCATAAGGTAGTGAGAGAGAAGAAGGCAAACAGACTATGACAGACGTGCATCCGCGAATTGTAGAGAGACGGCAATAATAGTTAGCTGATGCAACAACGATAGGCTAACGTGGAAAAAGGGAGAGGGAAAAAGCCATTCTGCGCTATCCATAGGATTAATAAGTAAGTAGCGATAGAGAGCAGACGTGCTGAAGTGGGATAAAGAGGAGAGAAAAGGAAAGAGAATCGTGTTATATTCGTGGTTAGCATAACTCAAACGAGAGGGAGCTGCAAGCTTCGTGGTGATTTTTGCGAGAGTGAAATGCATAAAATTTTTTTATGCAACTAGAGTTACGCACTGAAGGCGACATTTACACCTGAGCGAATGGGCTATTCAAGCGTTTACAGGGTGACTACACTGCGGAAGATTTTGTACAAACACAACATGAGGATGATCAAAATACAAAGCACTGGCGCATTGATTTATGTCAAACGTTTTTGTTATAGAATGCATTATCTAGCGATGTAAGACAGGATTTCCTGGTAGCGTTACAGGCCGAAATAGAAGATCTCTAACTATTCGAGCGTATTTGCGATGAAACGTATCTAGTAACCAAGTCGCCAACGCGTATACACGAAGTCATTGATATATCTTTGACGACTACGGCGGATACTTTGATCACAATGTCACACAAATTTCCCGAAAATACGCATAGCGATCTATCGATACAACGGTTAAATTCCATTGGCGTTTTTCAACGCCACAGACAACCGTATACATATATACTATGCTTGTATCTTACACTCAACCAATAACTACACATTGGGCATTATTCGTACGCACTAGCAGAAAATCAAAAGAATAGAACAACAAATCTTTCAGATCAGAATTATGACAATTCGGATGATCTACTATTATGGTACAAGTTACTAAACAGAAAACAATGCTGATACCTCATTCTGTTGTAATAGAGCTTAAAGAAAAAGTTCATGCAGAGAGAAAAATGGAACAAACGTTTGAAGAAATACAAAGGTTACATGCAAGCTATTTTAGAGGAAAAGGAAAAGCCGTCAAGAGCAAACAAGAATCTACACGAAATCAATGAAGATTTATGCAAAAAAATGCAGCGCGTAATCGCAACTACGCAGAAAGAATCAGCAAAATCATTCAACTGCGCCAACATGACGAGCGCGGAAAAAATAGTATAATTTCAGGATACACACATCTTCATTGAAGACTTCTCAAATGATTTTGAATTGTCAAGGATAACAGGACGCAGTAGATTAAACCCCAATACGCCGCTATTTAATTTTAGAGCAACAATGCCTCACAGTCACTCATATGTGATAAATCTTCAAACTACGGTGATAGCGAGTAACAGATCGGAAAATGACTGCTGTCATCATAGAACAATTCCTACTACTGCATCGTTTGCAGGATCTAAAATGACTGCTAGCTCAGTCTGGAGAAGTGCAGGCTCAGCGAATCAAATGGAAAATCCAGTTCACAGGGGAAGAGGGCATAAGTATAGAGGAATTTCTGGAGCGACACGAAGAGAACTGCTGTTTAGACCCCATAGTCGAAAATGAACTGTTGGGCTCTTTATCTACGTTCTTCAAAGTACAGGCATTGTTATACTACTGTTTCTTGCATCCAATATGGAATACGTACGAGGAGTTTAGAGGCAGTGGTAGACGTTTACAGTAAATCACGGAAATATAAAAGGAATTTTTCCGTAAAAACGTACCTTTGTTAGCAAAGACCAGATAAACCGGTAAGATATTACTTGGCGGCGCTTAACACTATATTCAGGTTCGAAAGATCCTGGAGTATTCCAGACCTGGTTAATTTGGCTGTTAACAACATGTTGCCGAAACTAAAGAAGAGGCTTAAACGGAATCAGTATGAGCTCACTTCTTTGCAGCAGCTACATGCGAGAGCTTTGGAAGTATAAATAGCTGAGTCCAACATACATTGAAAACCTCAGAACAGAGTATGCTACCTAAGGCGGTGTACCAACCTAAGGTGAAGCTGACCAAGTCTAAAGCGAGCCTCACATCAATGTCAGAAAGCTCTTCTATTCTAGCAATATTGTAACATGGTGTTTTGCCGATTAACAGTCACCATGGTACTCGGCGTAATATAAATTACAAGTTACGATAATTAATTTATCAGATTATTGGGCGCCAGACACTACTACTAATTAATTAGACATAAATAATTTTTCAGGGGAGTGCCACCCTAAATAATAATGATTGATGTTAAGAATTTTAGCTAACACTGCAAGTAATTTTGTATAGAGCAGTCTAATATTTTGGCAGACTAATCCCTTTGAACTACGAAGCTGACAAAATATTATTCGCGAATCAATAGGTGTATAGATTTTTTTATCCGCGATACATATCCGCGACTAAGCTCAATTTGATGCTAGGTCGTGGCTTACCTTGATAGCAAACAGCCGGAGAAGGTCCAAAGGCTCAAAATATTTACTAGCTCACTTTGTTCTCTGTGGGATTTGAATAATATCCAAGGTTGGGTAGACAGAGGAAGCTGGTTATTGGAATAAGTAAAGTAATTGGAGTGGTATAAAATTGAGCCGATTTATTAAATAACAATCTATGTAATTGTCTTGTGTAAAATTAATAACAATCGGAAAAACCGTTCGGTTAGGCACTTATAACTTAAGAATAATAACAAAATGAAAAATTTAAACTTTGAAATTAGGCACACGTAAAATGAGTTTTGAACTCTAACGCGCTATTACGTACTCTTCTTTGCACTATTTACCTAACTCTTAATTTCGCTAATGTGCGATGCAGTGAAATGAATAGACGTGAAATAGTCGTGCAGTACTCACTTTTAAACTGGAGTAGATTTGATATCTTTATTCAATCTAAATTATCTATCGTTAAATTAGCGGCTTCCACATTTAGAAACGTGATTTTGTACAATTAGAAATCAGGCACTGTGAGCACGAACGAGCTATGGTGCTTCTAAATAATTGCACTTTGATTCTAGGAAAATCACGGGAAAAATCTGTAAAGCGGTTCAAGGACATAGAACTATCCGTCTGTATCAGACAAAAGCCATCGGCAAACTTCGGCTAATTCTTCCTCTCCCTCTTTCTCCTAGTCGTAACTTTTCGTAGACGCAATATAATTTCGATTTCGATGATTTTTGGTGTTTAATGTTATCTCTCTCTATCGTATCAATCCGTATACAAGCTTGTCTCTGTCTATTAGGAAAGTTGAGTGTGATGCGCCGTCCTTTTCTATCTATTAAGCTTTCTCTTTCTATTTAACGTAGGTATAGATATAAGTGGGCGTGGCTAATGCAGCATATAAATATGTATATCAAGCAGTATTTTAATTGTTATCACACTCTTGATATATTAGATAGATTTTACAATTATTTTTGATAGATAATTTTAAGAAGATAATTTCAATATTTTGATATACACTTCTGCGGCAAATATTAATACACTTTTACGTAGTTTTGCTATCAGAAATATTCAGTATTAATTGTGTACGCAGACCGAATCATAAAAGCTGCCCTATATTTGTATAGGCAAAAATCGAGAAAATATTTTACGTATGTTGGTAACATAAAGAAAATTTACTATACATTCACGCAAAATTAAGCAATTAATTACGCAAAAATAAAATACATATTTGATGTATTTTTCGAACGCTTTTCCTGAGTTAATTAACGTGTTTGAGTTGATTGCTCCATAATTCCTTATTTTCTTTCTTGCAATATATGTTTACGGCAGCGTTGGTTAATTTCTTCTTCTTGAAGTGAACAGCCTTTATTGGTATGACGACTTTCGGAGGAGGTTTTGGAAGAATAGCAGGTTATAATAATTATTTATTAATAGTACCGCTGGTGCTCATCGCGTAACAGCACATGAAAAAAATAAATAAATAAATTGATAATTGTAAATTATTTTACAATTCACTGCCCTAGTGCAATTCGGAGTACGGAAAGCTGTCGCTGGCCTTTCCAGGACCACCTTGCAGTAATTCACGGACTGTTACTATATATATCAAACAGCCCGTTACAATATAATTACAAAAGTTGTTCCAAAATTTCTTTAACAAGAAATATCAAAAATTATCAATAGCTAAGCATAGAGACCTTTCTGCGACGAACAGTAAAAAAGATGCGGTGACTGAAAAAGTCAATCCACGAACGAGTCCAAATAGCAACTGGTTAGAACGAGGTCGTGAAGGTTGTGGAGGCCGAGAAGGCTCTGGACAATGGGGAACAAATAGCACGATGCTCTTCCTGGAAGTAGTGATTTGACTTTTTTCTGCTTAATCTAGTGAAGCTACTGGGCCGGGTTTTGCTATAACCCCAACGTGGTTCGCATTGTGTAATTGTTCTCCTCATCTCTTTTCGATTTATTTATGTGACGTAGAGCTCATGGAATTAATTTTCCCGAACAAATATCCTATTATAATCTTCTAGATAGGAAGAAAAAATAGAATTACATTCAATATAACTAACGGGCCTACCGAGTGAAAGGTTCTAATTATCCTCATTTCCTAAAAGATTTGATTATAATTAGACTAATGGACAATTGCTTATTCGTAATACTGAGAAAATACATATTTTTATTTTTTTTAAGGGAAGCAAGTCCTTACTTCATAAGCAGCTCTCGGACTATCTGGGGACTAGTAATTTTTTTGATTCAAGGCAGGCTGTTTTCCGCAGGGGGCATTCTACCGAGACTGCCCTGGTTGGTCTGTTGGAGGATGTCAGACACGCTGTTGAGATGCGTCAGGTCACGATTCTTGTGCTGTTTGACTTCTC